CGTTACAAATTGGTTCTTCTGGAAAGCAATATAGCAACGTGGAACAAAAACTGTGAAAATGTTCATTCTCCTCCACCTGGCATTTTTCCTGTTTGTGTTCCCTAAAGAAATAACCCAAAGGGGAGAAATTTACATAGATGTTTCCTTGGCAACTATAGTTATAATAGCTAAAAACACTGGAAGCAATCCAAGCGTCTAATAGACAAGTGACTAAACAAACAATGGAATTATTACATAGCTATTAAAAATGACAAGAGATGAGGACTATGTCAACATAGAGAAGTATGTATCTGCAGGAACGTTAAGTGGGAAAAGAACACAGAGCACTGTTTAAACACTAGCGGTTAAGGATATGTGTGTACATTAACAAAGATCAGAGGCCAATTTGAAGGAAAAAAATGTAGCTGGAGTTCAGTGTTCATTGTATTTTTTTTTTTCCTGCAAAGTTCCATGAGTGTATGACAATACAAGTTGAGATGTCATACCACGTAGGTATCCTAGAAGTCCTCTGCAGAATCAGGGCTCTAACTTACCTACCAGGTGGTATATTTCAAGAGATAATTTCATGCTAAATTCTCATCAAACTATTATGAAAGTAATGACATTTATTTGAAAATAAAATACCTTTATTTAGTTTTATTCAATGAGCAATTTTGAGAGCTTCACAAGGTGCAAGAGCATTTGCAATCTCATGAAATTTACAAAAAAATGGGTAAAATCCTCAGGTGGATATGTGCTGTTTTAACTTACTTTTATTTGCATTGACTGTACATATAAGGACCTATTACAAAGGCAAATCTGAAAGACCTTTGGCCGAAACCTCACATTCACAGTTGTCTCAATTGTATACTTTTGATGTTGTCTTCAAAAGGGTCTTATGTATAGTCACTGAGATATACTGATAAAAATCAAGATAAAAAGGTCATCATCATACACTCTAAAGCTGTGTCACATTAGCTCTATAGTGCTTTGGGACATATATTTTGTAAATCCTATGATTATCTTGTGAATAGCAAAATATTGACATTGCAATATGTATTACATTGTAATTAAAAGAAAATAAACCACAATTTTTATATCTTGTTTCATAATTTGTTTTTTGGTTTGTTTTTTAATTTACCCAGAGCCTCCACAAATAGACATGGCCCAGTCTTCTCTAGATCTCTGGGAGGCCCTGATTATAATGATCACTTTATCTTTCAAATGCGATAGTTTTAACTAGGGCCCCAAACGGGTGGGTTGTTAATAGCCTAACTGTAGAAACACCTTACTAATAAACTGCTCTCTCCTCGCCCTGCTGTTTTTGCTGCCAGGTAACCAGTGGTCAGAAAATTCACAGCTTCCAGAGCGGTGGTTCACAGCCCTGTCTGCAGGTCGGAACCACCCACACTTGCCCAGATGCCACTCCAGCCTCCCAATTCAGACTCTCCAGGGCTGGAGCTTGGAGATCCCTGTCCTTAAAAAACACTCTTCCTCTGTTCTTTCTTGCACTGTATTTCCTGTGGATCCAGGACTCAGAATTCCAGCGAGTACTGTTATTGGTATGGATTAAGTGCACCATGGATTTAATAGATCTGAAGGCTAATCTGAGGGTCAACCACCCTTTTCAATATAGACTCCCTGGAGTGATGTGTTATTAGGTGCCCAAAAACAATTTAAAAAGAAGTTTGATGAGGTGGTAAAGGTACGATACAATATACAGATGATACATTGTAGACTTGTATACTTGAAACCTATATAATTTTATTAGCATGTCACCCAATAAATTCAATAAAAAAAAAAAAAAAGAAATTTGAGGATGCAGTCCACAGATTTGTTTTGTTTTTTGTTGGTTTCTTTTTTTTTTTTTTTTTTGTGGTGCGGGGACTGCCCACATAAAACTTTTGATTAAGCTATCTTTAATTATTCCTTAAATTTCTTATTGTGCTTAAATACATGAAAGTAAATAAGTGCTGAGTCAAAAGTGTTACATTTAAGTGTCAGTTCTTGTAAACAACGGCAAGTACTAGACCTTTACAGGCAGTAAAACTTCAGTTAGCTCACATCGTCAAATGACTGGGTTTTTTTTGCCCCATAGAGACACAGATATGGAACAAATGGATTTACAACACAGAGAAAAATAAATTCCTCAAGATATGGGCTGAAGTCAGTACACATGCTGTCCATTCTCCTATACTAGTTCTCTACTATGCTTACTGATGCTCTGAGGATTATGACTCTCTCTGTAGTCCAAAATTCCTTATGCATGAAATAAAGCTTTAATTGTGTTCATCTAAACCCAACACACACACATACACACACACACATGTCCAGGGAAGTTGGAGAAGCATATGGGAACTGAAGAATCAGAGTACTGTCCCTTTTTGCCCACCACATCCCTACCCTCAGTTCAGCCTGGTTTACATTCATTCCTTTTGGAGTGTTAAGGTCTGTGGGGACATGTTTTCCCACCTCTTATCTCAATAGCACAGGTATATACTGAAGGCATCTTGACGAAGGTTGTATTTATCTTTTGAGGAGCTCCAGAATATTTGAAGATGGGCCAGATTTAGAAAAATCAAGTTCAAAAGGACCATGGTTGTGAGTAGTAGCAAGTGATGTGTTGATAAATACAAGGTATAGTTGTAAAGGTGGGAAATTTAATTTTGTTCTAGAAAGCTATGGCTATTCAGTCTTTCCAGATGAACCCGAGTGTTGAGACGATAATTATTAAAGGGAGAAGCAAATTTGGCCTTCCTTATTTCAAGGTGAGAGTTAGAAGAAGGATAATATATTTGGGGCCCTATCGTCTGAGACTAAAAGCACCCACCGATGCTATACTCGCTTTTCCTTTCCGAGTTATTCAGATAACTGCCCTTCAAGCCATGCTTCACTACCCTGGGGATAGAATCCATTCATTTAACTATTGCACGGACTACAATTGCTACTTCAAATGAAAACCCGGGAAGCGGAATCCCTGCTGCTGTTGAGAGTCTATAATTAGCTTCTTGTGCAGCCTGACCCCACAGATTTTTCTGACGCATTTGGCCTGCAGTGTGCCCTTTCTGAGACCTCAGTATCTTCTCCGCAGCTGGAGATGCCCAAAACTGCACGTAGCACTTCCTGTGGGTGTGGCCTTGAGGGTTTTTTTTAAAGGCTTCATGCTGATTGGATCATGCGTTTCAACCACTCACAGATTCACAATGCTTTTTCAAATGCAGGAGTGGACTATAGGTGGCTTTATCAAATATGAGTTTTCCCCCTCCCCTTTCTTTTTAAAAAGTGATTTCATAATTGTGGCCTCTCAAGAAACACTATAATTGGTTAGCCTGGGATGTGTTTGATGTCTTCCCAGATAACGTCATTCGTTATTCTCAGGAGAGGAAAAGCAGGGTATACCCTCCTGGGAGAATGACAACACTTGTTTCAAGCTGGGGGAACAGCCTGCTGTTCTTTTCCTGCGTTTGGGTGAGAACGAACACACAATGTTCATTTCCTAAACACGGCATGTGCTCTGCGCCCGGCAGGTCATTTTCCACCCTGTCACATCCTTCTGGATGAAGGCTGTAGGGGCCAGGACAGGAAACGGCAAATTCTCAGAATGAGCAAGGCTTTCCCAGGGCAGTCATTGGCTCTCTGGAACTATAAAGCATGCTCATCCAGAAACAGCCTCAGAGGTTTCTTTCCTGGAGATAGCCAGAGGTGAATGGTAAGTGGGGAGCCTAGAGGGATACTATCTGAAAAATTGCCATTATATTTGTAATACTGGCAGTATATCCCTGTATTATATATTTTGAGTGACTTTTCTCATTTTCCTAAGAGGTGTCTTCACTTGGAAATTTATCACTGGTGGGTGGAATTATGGAGACATGCAAGTAAAATGAAGACCTAGGAGGAGTCAGGAGACCAGGATTCTTTCTAGACTGGGTTCTGTGAAGACTTGGCTGCATCTAGAATCTGCCTGTGTTTGGATTTCCTCATCTTTCAGATGAGAATAACGATTTCTGCCCTGATATAGCATAGGCTCAAAATGTTCTATTTCTATGGCTTATTTGCCGCTTTTAAGAAGTTCCTAATAATGATGAGCACAGTGGATATGAGGGTGGGAATTTTTGGCAACTAGGAAAGATGTACTTTTACTTGAAGGTGTACAGTTCTGTCTGTTAGTCATGTGCAATTGACTTTAATTCAACTTGGTACAAGGTTTGCCCCCAGTCAGTTGTTCAATAAAAAATTTGGGTGACTTTAGTTCAACCATTATTCGTTTTAAAAAGGAAGTTTTACTAATAAAAAGATATAGTGGTATTAATTTAATATAGTTTTAATTAAGCACCCATCAAAGAGGGAGACCTGATGGGCCCTAGTTAGAATAAACAGTGAAAACCACAGCTTCGGTTTCATTCTAAGGTAAGAGCCCACAAGAGTAACAAGCAGAAGAGTTGCTGGAGGCAAGCATCTAACTTAGAAAGATTAGTTTCTTACATTTGATAGACAATATGATTTTTCAGTTTTTGGTGACTTGCCTTTTTCACTCATCAGAGAGAGAGGGAGGGAAAAAAACTGTATTAAAAAACTCCGTAGAATCCAAGTCTTCATATAACAAAGGGACTTTGTAAACAGGGACAACCTACCACTTATAAAGTATCTTTCAAACAGAGCAGAAGCCTGAATATTGCAGGTGTTAGAAGGCTTATTCGCTCCTCCTTGTGTTTACATCCTGTATAACAAATAGTTAATAAAAATCCATCCTTAGCGTTCCATGGGAGAGAAGGCAGAGGACGGCATTATTCCTACTTGCATATGCGGATTCAGGCTCCTGAGAATGTGTGTGTCTTGCCCCAGAGTGCAGAACTGACCTTTGAGAACTTGATATATGACTCACTGGAAAGTGACCCGTTTCCCCTCGCGTGCAGTAGCAGCTATAACTTTTGCCAACTGCCCGTTGGCATGTGGGAACCGCGATTGGGAGCTGTTATTAGTGACGGAGACTTCGGAATAACTGCGTGTCTCTGTGCCCGCAGGTCATGGAGGGGCCGGCGGCCTGGGAGCCGCAGGGCGCCGAGGCGCTGCGACGTTTCCAGGGCTTGCTGATGGACCGTCGCGGCCGGCTGCACGGCCAGCTGCTGCGCCTGCGCGAGGTGGCCCGGCGCCTCGAGCGCCTCCGCAGGCGCTCCCTGGCGGCCAACGTGGCAGGCAGCTCGCTGAGCGCCGCCGGCGCAGTCACCGCCATCGTGGGGCTCTCGCTCAGTCCGATCACCCTGGGGGTGTCGCTCCTGGCATCGGCCGTGGGGCTGGGGATGGCCACCGCCGGAGGGGCCGTCACCATCACCTCTGACCTCTCCCTGATCTTCTGCAACTCCCGTGAGGTGCGGAGGGTGCAGGAGATCGCGGCCACCTGCCAGGACCAGATGCGTGAGATCCTGAGCTGCCTCGAGTTCTTCTGCCGCTGGCATGGCCGCGGGGACAGCCAGCTGCTGCAGAGTGGGAGGAACGCGTCCATGGCCCTGTACAACTCCGTCTATTTCATCGTTTTCTTCGGCTCACGTGGCTTCCTCATCCCTAGGCTGGCCGAGGGGGCCACCAAGGTTAGCCAGGCCGTGCTGAAGGCCAAGATTCAGAAACTGGCGGAGAGCCTGGAGTCCTGCACGGGGGCTCTGGATGAACTCGGTGAGCAGCTGGAGTCCAGAGTCCAGCTCTGCACGAAGTCCAGGCGGGGCCACGACCTCAAGATCTCGGCTGACCAGCCCTCGGCGCTGTTTTTCTGAGAACATCCTTTCTCCTAACCACTGAGGCCAGAAACCATTCCTGTGGGACGTGCCAGATTTGTAGGTCCCTCAGGAACACACCAAGCTGCGTTGGGAGCGGAGTGCAAAGGATGAGAAAAACTTTGAAGTGGAAGGTCCTCACATAGCCCTTCTTTTCCCATCACTGTGACATCCTGCTGGGGATGAGTGCTAGGAACTGTTTACTTGCCTGATCCTGGTGGAATATGTGACCCACAAACCATTTTTCCTTTACTAAAACTGTTCGGTCTTCCCATCACTGGGCCCTCCTTGGGTGGTCCCCGCCCCTGTCCCGGAGGTTTGAGCTGAGGTTGGAGAGGGTGCAGACTTAGCCACCCTCTGGGTCGGTCCTCAGAAGGCCTGCGTGAGGAGGCATAAGCTTTACCGCCTCTCTTCCAGAGTTTCTGAGTACAAAGACCTCCAGAATCCAGAGCAAAGAGACCCTCTCTGAACAGTGTAGGAGGGGCCTACAGAGGCCCCTCCCTCTGACTTGCCGTCCCCTCCCCTCTCAGCTCATCCACTCGCAGATCCAGCCTGGGGATGGAGTAGACCTTCCTGGGGTCTTCATATCCAGACTCCAAGAGGGGAAGCCAACCAGTCACCTAAGTGCTGCTTCGTGTGATAGGAAGCTGAGGCCGAGGAAGATGAAGTGACTAACATTTACTGACATCATAGTGTTGAGGGCAATGGCCTCAAGTTAGACCCTGGGTTTATTACAGACTCTGTCACTACTGTGTGATCTTGGCCACTTAGTCTCTCTGAGATTCGGCTTCCTGGTGGGTAAAAGAGAGATGCTAAAACCTTACCCTGTTGTGAGTCTTAAGTGAGATAAAGTGCCTAGCACAATGTCTGGCTCACAAGAGTGGCCCCTGGGCTGGCAGCATTAACATCACCCGGGAACTTGTTATACAGGCAAATTCTTGGACTCAACCCCTGACTTATGGAGTCAGAAACTCTGGAGGTGGGCCCAGCAACCTGTGTTTAAACAAGCTCTCTGGGGGATTCTGATGCCTAGTGAGATTTGAAAACAAACCCACTGCAACAGATGTTAATTTCTGATCCCCTCAATGAGCTTCCACAAAGTCTCGTGGCTTCTCTAAGGGCTGCATGGTCTTCAGAGTCATTCACTAAAGGCCAAGGACAGACTGTGTCCCAGAAATAAAAGAATGTGTGGGCACTGGCCAATGCACCTGGTGCTCCTTCCCACCATGTTAACCAAGAGATGTAGCATAATGAGCCCTGTAGAGGGCAGTGTTGTCCACTCATTGTAGAAACTGGTACAGAAAGGAATGTGAATTTATTGGAAGTTGACCCTTATTACCTTCTTTGAAAACTGCTAGACCATGTATTTTTTAATTTATTTTAATTTTTTATTTAATTACTGTTTATTATTTGCTTCTAATTTTATTTAATCATCACATTTAGAAAATAATAGGAATTGGAAGTGTCTGAATGGGAGACTACTGAGGCTCTTTTCAGGAGAAGAGGTTGAGTTTGGCTTTCTGAGGCTGGTTATGAGTGCTCCAGGAGTACATCTCTCTCCTTCCCACATGAAGGAAATGTGAGAAGTTGTGAATAGAGAGACTGGAGCTGAGTTTAAGCTTATAAATGGAGGCTTGACTTGCAGGATCTAGAAATGATGCGGGCATATTTAACCTGAAGGTACCTTGCCAGCAGATAACACTTGATCTGAAAAGAGAACCTATTTAGCTCACAGTTCTGAACCATTTTCCAGGAAAAAAAAAATTAAAGGCATATGAAGGAAGCACTTAGACCTTGGAAGCCTGATGCCCTGTAAAGTTATGTCTCACGGGTGACAGACAAAATAGTTTGTGTTGTAGTGGTGATGTGTTGTATATCATGTAGGGGGCTGTGAGAAATCTGTAAGCTGCTTCTAAGAAAGTATACTTTCTTTCATTTCCATTTCTACAACTTTAATATTAAAAAACATGTTGAAAAGTCTTTGGGACCAGACACATACAATAGTTAGCTGTATTTCTCAATTATTTAATATGCTTTTAATTTATTCAGTTTTCTCCCATGCTTCCCAATGATGGCAATATGTCTGAGGAAGTATAATTTCAGTGATGGGGGGGAGGTGGTTAGTGGTTCTATATTTTAATTTTTCCTATAAATTTCAATCAATCTGTATCCTGGTTTATTTTCAAGTTGTCCCTGGTTTCTTTTGAAACTGGTGTCATTTCCTAGACTACTTTGCATAAATGCTAGCATTTTAGTCACCAAAATGTACTTCACATTGTCATTTGTGTTCTGTCTCAAAGGTACAACCACTCCCTAACTCCATCTTCTATTAATGCTTAAGCTGGAAGTCTATTCTTCCAATGCCTGAGCTGTTCCCTAGAAATAAACAGGGCACTTTTGGTGGCAGCTGCAAACATGTCCTATCCTTAGGGTATTTTGTGTCTATCAGAGTCCTAACCTCCTGAAGTTATTTAAGTGGCCCACTTTACATCTAAGGAAGACAGTCTACTTTGGAACAACAAACTGCGCACAAGAGAAGCTCAATAAATGCATTGGAGTAATTTAATAAACTGCTTAGCTATGTTAATAGAAATTTGTTGATAATGAAAGAGCATCCATCCCCTACATGTCTGTTAGAAAGATTGGAGCCTCTATCAGGATTTAGTCAAGTTCAGTTCAATGAATCCTAAAGACAAATACTTATTTATTTCTTTTGTGGAAATGTGAATAAGGCTTTTCCTTAAGGCCTACATTCTTTAAACAAACAGATTGAAATGGTATGTTGTAAAGGGGAGAGGGGAGAGAGGTATTTAGGTCACAAGTATACTTCAGAAAAAGGTCCCGATTTTGAAAAATAAATATGCTTATACTAAAGGTTTAAGTGCTTCTGGTAGTTTCTGTGGCTTACAATGATTTTCTTTCACAATAAAGGAGATTCAATAAAACTACATCCTGCTCTAGTAAAAAAACAGAACAAAACCAAAAAAACAAAAACAAAAAACAAACCCTTAGCAAGCATTCTGATTCTAATTGCTTTGATGCATTTACCCTCAGGCATCTGTCATTTCCAGTATGGTAAGTGTCAAAGTCAAGAGTGTGTACTGGGAGAAAAAAGAGAGAAGAGTGGTGTAGAAGCCACCCTAAATCAGATATGTCAAACAAACATTCAACTTTATACAGTTCTCAATACCTTGGTGTGAAAAGAAAGAGGAAATTGAGAAAGTGAGATAAAGACACTATGCAGAGATAAATAGGGATACAGTTAAATGCAGCAATTTTTGAATTCCTTGTTTTTTTTCTTTTTTTAAAAAAGATTTTACTTATTTATTTTTAGAGAGGAGAAAGAGAGGGAGAGAGACATCAGTGTGTGACCGCTTCTCACAAGCACTCTATCAGGAACCTGGCTTACACCCAGGCATGTGCCCTGACTGGGAATTGAACCAGAGACCCTTTGGTTCTCAGGTTGGTACTCAGTCTGCTGAGCCACAGCAACCAGGGCTGAATCCCATGGTTTCTTTTCCCCCTCACTGCAGCAAAATTAGTTCTTTCTCTTTTTTGAAATGAATTGTTTATGTCTCAAACTTTTAAAAAAATATTTTATTTATTTATTTTTAGAGAGAAGGAAAGGGAGGGAGAAAGAGGGAGAGAAACATCAATGTAAGAAACATCTACTGGTTGCCTCTCTTACATGGCCTGACTGGGGACCGGACCCACAACCCAGGCATGTGCCCTGACGACCTTTTGCTTTGTGAGATACCACCCAACCAACTGAGCCACACAGGTCAGGGAAAATTTTTGATCTCTGTAATCAATCACCTAATCTTAAATTTGCTTGTGTATGAATTGGTAACTTTGGAAAAGAGCAGACACTTAATAATTCACTTAGAATTTTCAGTATCAAACTGTGTAAATCGATTTTTAGAAAGCAATCAACTCATGTACTGGAATACTCTTATTATCTAGAAATCAGACTTCCAGCCGTTTCAAATCTTTGAATGTAATTACTACCTGGGAAGTAATCAAAAGGGAACTTAGAATTAGCTAAATTACTCTTCACAAAACCTAGAGAGAGGGAGAAAGGGAGGGTAAGGAGCAACATCTCTATTAGGAGGCAAAAGTTTCCCACAAATCTCCAGGGAATTCATCTTACAAGTCACTGATCTTGACTGTGCAAAGCAGGCTGGGAAATGCAGTAATTTTTAGCTGAGAATTGGCTGATCCCAATATACCTAGAGTTCTGTGTGTAAGGAAGAAAAGGAAGGTGGACGCAGGGTAGGGGGTCCAGCAACCCAAAGAGCCTATAGTGGTTGCTCCAGTCAGTCAAGGGCTACAGCCCTGGAGGTGGTCTCCCACAGTGGCAGCCTCAGAGCCTCCCCACCTTGGAAATATCCCTGGGTCTGGATGTTACACTCTTAGTGAGTGTGCACACCCCGCGCCCCCCCCCCCCCCCAAAAAAAGGACTGCTTTGGCAAGACCCTGACTGTTTGCAAAGGCCAGCCCCAAGCTGGAATCCTGTTTTTTGCTGTAGCATATGTATTCCTGTTATAACAAGTGCCCTTTTAGTTAATTGCAATAAATCTCTCCTTGTTGAATTGACAGGAGGTGCGGATGTTAACTTTTTGCTCCTGGCAAATGCTGGTAAATCCTGCTGTGGTCTGGAATAAGACAAAGATAAGATCTGGACATAACCCCTTAGCAACCTTAGAGTTGTTAGGAGAGGGGAAATCATGCTGATGAAGCAAGGCCCCTCTGGGGGCCAGGAAGGAACTTTAGGGACCCTCCAATGTGGTCTTGAAAGGACAGGTAAAGCTTGTCTACATGAAGCTACCACTGCAGAGAATGATGTTTAATCCCATTTTATATCTCCCATATAACCCCAGGGGTGGGAGTGCAGTCAGGCCTGTGAGCTGATTTGCCTGGATTGTTAGCAATGAATCCCAGCCAAGCCCTCTGCCTCCCAAACACACAGGAGAATTCATAGCATGGCTTGTTCCAGCATTTGTGTGGCTACAGTTGCCAAATCTACCCAAATACTTGTACCTGGGAGATGCTTTTTGTGTAGGTAGAATTAGGGAGGGGTGGTGATGTCTAAAACCTTTCTTTTAGGCTAAACATTTCTTTTGCTAGACTCCCTGGATGACATGTAGACATTTGTTCTGCCCTCACCTTGTTATTAAAATTGCACTGTCAAAATGTCATTGAAGAACAATACTTTTCTCAGTGTTTAAATAATAGACATTTAGATAATAAATATAGACAATGAATGTGGGTATTTAATGATAATAATAATAGTTAGCATTTATTGAAAACTTACTGGGTACTGCTGTAAGTACAATTTGCATGTATTACCACATTTACAAAAAATCTTAGGAGGGGGAGACTGTAATTACCCCATATTATTAGACAAAGAAAGTAAGGGAACTGAGAGGCTGCATGACCAGCAAGGGCTGCGCCAGGATTCGAATCCCGGCCGCCTGACTCCAGAGTTATACTCTTAGCTCTTCTGAGAGTAAGGATTTTCCTAATATAAAATAACAGCTCACGATAGTGGTGGCGGTAATGACAAGCTGACAGATTCATTCCTTCATCTAGAAAACATTTATTGAGTAGTCACTTTATACTCCCTACTGTCATTTGTGAGCAATGCAGGCAGAGTTCTGGATCCATGGCCCTAACAACCCAGTAATCTAGGTGGGGTGATCTTTGCCAGTGGGTTAACCAATAAGAAATTAAAATGGAGTTTTGCAAATGGCTAGTATTAAAACAACAACAACAACAACAACAACAAAAAACCAAAAGACCAAAAAACACAAAACCAACAACAATGTGGGTGCAATTTGAAAAGGATCAAACTTCAGCTTTGATCATAAAAGCCTGTGCACAAATATTCTGCAGTGCTGCCTCGGATGCCCTAAACATGACAAGATTCTTATGAACACAACACCTGGAATGAGAGGACGTGATTAATAAGAACTTTTTGTTAAGTGCTGGCTGATATGCTGGGACTGAAGGTATCGACAGAGACTGCGCACATATCAATGAAGGAATTACTGGTTCAGCAGGCCTTTCCAGACCTTGTACAAAAACCTCTGAGGATGAAACTTCTTTGGGGTCATTCCATTGAAACTATCAACAAACCTGCTCATCAGTTTTCTTCCTGTTACGGGTGTGCACTCAATTTCAGTATGATAGCTATAGATTAAAACTGCATGAGACTTGTGGGTGAGGAAACAGGTGTGAGGATGAATGAGACTTTAGGTGTCATAAAACTTCAAAATAGTAATGCTAGATGATTTGCTTTTAACATTGTTCCCCCACCTTCTTCATAGTTAACACTATGAATGGTTGGACTTTCATTCTTTCTAACTCCTCTGTAGCATCTGACATTGTTGACTTCCCAATTATGAAAACTCTTTGCTCTCTTGAAGTCTGTGTCATTAGCCCTTCTAATACGTCTCTCTTAGTACCTTTTCTTTCTCTTCTATTTGCAAATTTCAGGTGTTCCCTGAGCCTCTGATCCAGGCTGCTTTCCCTCCTACCTCCTTCGTATACAGTCCTTCACGCCCCCTCTAGTGTTTCCCCAGTCCTGGGCTGGAGGTTGGTGTGGATGCAATCAGCGCTTAAAGTGTTCTCTTACATAAATTTGAATTTGTTGGATATTAGATGAGATGAAAACAATGGTGAAGATCCTTGACTGAGTAAAGCAGATTAGAGGGAACGTGCACAAAAAGAAAGTCTTGGCTGTGTTCCTCCTACCCTGTTCCCCTCACTGGAGTGGCTCCTCTTTGATTTCAGCCACATGTGGTCTTGCTCTTATCTGGATGTCTGACAGCAATCTGCTTGTGTCTCTTATACAGACTTATCACCTGATACCTTATCACTACAGATGTTTGTGCCTCTCCCAAGGCTCTTAAGGACAGAAACGATATCTCAATTATCGCTAAGGCTCCCCATGGTGTCTCTCCAGCTTCCGCCACAGGAGATGCTCCGTGAGCATTGACTGAGTGAACAAATGAACAAGCACTCTATGCTCATGGATATGCTGGCATTGCTTCCCAGCACAACTGAAGCTACTCGTACATGCCTTCTCCTCTCTAAAACTGGTCCAGTTTTACAACCCTTCTGCCTCTATCAAGGCAATGTCAGTACCCCAGTTGTTGACCTTGAAATCTCATTGTCATCTCCAAGTCTTTCCCGTCCTTATCTCTCTGATAGAGCTTCGCCAAGGTATATCCTTCTGGTTAAAAGTCTCTCCCAAGCACTTTGATCCGTTCCACTGCTACCATAACCCATCTAGGCTTTTATTCTCTAACATCTGCAACAACCATCAAGCTGGTTTTCCTAATTCTGGGTTCTTTCCGCTCAAATCCATGCTATACTCTAATCCTCGATTCATTTACATAAATCATGGATTTTCTCAGATTCCAATTGCATGGAATGTAACTTTTCCTAAAACTGGACTCTGAATTTGAGTACACACCCAGGGGAGGGCTGAGTTCCTGCGGCGTTTGTGGTGTTTTAATAGTGTAGGGGGGTTAAAAAAGTGATGGGTGATATTAGCAAGGGCTAAGATGAACTTAATTCTATTGTTCTAATGAAAAAGACAATGATGTAGTTTAGGGACTTTACAAAAAAAAGTCAGGAAGAAAAGGACCAAGGGAGGAGGTAGGCGGAGGAAGGTGCAAAGCGGAAGGAGAGCAGCTGGCAAAGGCACAATCGGGCCCCCAGGAGGTGGGTATCCTCCCTGAAACCGCAGGCCGAGTGGTTCTGAGTGACCCGGAAGGAAAAATCAGACCACTGCGCACCACTAAAGCAAACTCTGCGCAGGACCTTCACTGGGGAGAAACTGAAGCAGAGAGAAAAGCTCGA